GACTGGAGGAAGAGTTTTTTGGTCCCCATTTTTAAGAACAAAGGAGATGCACAAGAGTGTGCAAATTTTAGAGGGATTAAGTTAATGTGTCATACTTTAAAATTATGGGAGAGGGGAATTGAGGATATGTTAAGACGTATTACAAGATTTCTCATAATCAATTTGGATTTTTGTCGGGTAGGTCTACTATTGAAGATATACATTTATTGAGAGGTTTGATGGAGAAGTTCAGAGATAATAAGGAGAATCTACATTTGATTTTTATTGATTTAGAAAAAGCTTACGATAAGGTTCCAAGAGATATCTTTTGGAGAGTTCTGTTTCAGTTCATTTTTCTCTTTTTTTATTTTTAAAAGGAGTCGCCAGCTTGTCGATCGTCGTATACTTCCCCCATTTGAATAAATCTCCCTCCCGAACCATATAAATGATTCGAAGAGGAGAGGAATTTGTTGGTTATATCCTTCCCGTGGATAAGACGAGAGAAAAAAGCCCAAGAAAAACTTGAATCATGGAGGTCTACATTGGAGTTTACAGGCCTTCATTTGAGTAGAACTAGAACTGAATACATGGAATGTAATTTTAGTAGTAGTAGCTCTAGTGACAGAAGTGTAAGTTTGGGTGATTAAATTATTAAAAGGTGTGAACGATTTAGATTTCTCGGGTCTGTTGTTTAAAGTTGGTTGTTAATAGTAGAATTCAAGTTGGTTGGTTGAAGTGGAGGAATGCTTCGGGCTTTTTGTGTGATAGAAAAGTACAATTTAGACTGAAAGAAAAATTTATAAGACAGTGGTGAGACCTGCAATGCTCTATGGCGTTGAATGTTGGCAAATTTTGGCCTTTAAAAGAGAAGCATAATACTAAGTTAAGTGTTGCCGAGATGAGAATGATTAGGTGGATGAATTGCGAAACGAATATATTCGTGATAGGGCTGGTGTAGCTCTCTGGCAGACAAGATTAGAAAGAGTTGTCTTAGATGTTTAGATGGTTTGGTGACATTAAACTTCGACCATCTGATGATCCGATTAGGAGACATTAAGCTTCGACCATCTGATGATCCGATTAGGAGAGTAGATGCTTTAGATTCGACTTATGTTAAAAAAGGCAGAGGTAGACCTAGGAAGACTTGGGCTTATTGTATAAAAAAATGATCTTAATTTATTAGAATTAAATGAACATATGACAATCAAATAAAAAGGATTCATGTAGCCTACCCCACGTAGTGGGATTAAGGCTTTGTTGTTTTTGTTGTTGTTAAACTTAATTTAATTTGATAAAGAATAGTTGAACGTTGAAATTAAGCTTCATACCTAAAATTCTTCCCCTTTTCTGATTTCAACTTGCTTGCTAGTTACCCTAAATAAATTTGAACACAATTTAATTAAAATTTTGATTTAATGAATTTAATTTCAATTATTTACAATTAATAACTTAATACCTTACCTTACAATTGCTCTAGCTAGACCGAATAACGCGAACCAAGCAAATAAGGCTCGGTCGTGCTTAGGGCAGCTCTTATTCTGCTCGTTTATATTTAGAGCTCAAAAAGTGTGTTTGTGTTCGACTCATTTGCTTAGCGAGCCGAACAGGAGCCGTTCACGAATAAATAGCCATTTTGACAACCTTAATCACGTAGTCATAAGATGTTAAAGGTTGGAGCAAGATTTAAAAATTATTATTTATATTAACATATCATTTGAATCTAATTTAATATTTTTTATTCTATTTTCTTAATTAAAACTTTTAATTGATTATAAATCTTTGTAGCCATGTAGTCAATTAAATTTATCTCATCAAAGATATATGTATATATATATATATATAATTAATTAGTAGTATTTATATATATATTAATCTGGTATGATTGAGCTATTAGTCATATTTTTGGGTGTCTTCTCTAAAAGATGGAGAAAGGGCCTATATTAACCCACCTCATTTTGCAACCCTAGTCGTGATCTCTCTTGCATGCACAAAGCTATTGCATGCTGCTCCTTGTATAAGTGTGCCCCTACAAGCCAGAAAAAAATTGCGTACATAAGACGTATGCAGCGCTGCGTACATAATGGAGTTATTCAGGGGGTTCAGGAGGGTTTGGGGGTTATATCGGGATTATATTCTCGTTATATCCCTTGTAACCTCCATATGACTTACATGTAACCTACATGTAACCTACAAATATGTGAAAACAGAAGCGTGAAACTTATTTGTAAGTTCAAGTAGGTTACAGGTAGGTCGAGGTTACATGGAGGTTACAAGAGATATAACATGAATATAATGTCGATATAACTCCCATATAACCTTCATTATGTACGTAGCGCTTACGTACGCAAATTTTTCTCCTACAAGCCACACGACTGGTAGGAATAGCTCTCACCTCTCCGCCTTTCTCCTTTCACTCGGTTGAGCTCTCACGTATGCAAAAGGCTCCAACGAGCCATTCTTTCTCCCGAAGTTCTCGATCGAGCTTCCTACAAGCTGCACGACAAGCATAAAACACTCAGTCTTCCCCTCTATGCTTGCACGATTGATGGATCCTCGATGACACAAGAGGAAGGCTCGGGTGAGCCGCTCAAACCCTCTGGGTACCTAATTGAACTTCCCCTTCTTACTCCTTTTACTTGCTGCTTGCAACAGTCGATAGAGCTGCTTGAGTCATCTTCTCTTCGTTTTGATCTCATCTCGCCCTCCTCCTTCCTCTTTCGACTCTTTTTCGTCTTTTTTATTTTTTCTTCTTCTTCCTTTGTCTCTCACGCTATCTTTCTCGTGCTCCCTCTAGCATTCTCTCGCTCTCTCTGTCTCTCTCAGTTGATGCTCTAATCCGGTCAAGTGAGAGGAGACGAAGGGATAACATTGTTAGATTTCTTGCCAGCGGTGGGAGTAGTGATCGAAAAACAAATGTTGTACCCGTAATTTTTTTTATATAGTCAAATTAATTATAACTTCAATTAATAGGTTTCTATGCAAAATTAGTGCCTTCTTATATTGCTAGCCAACCGATTATGATCTTTACCCACATTTACCCACATTTACCCACATTTACCCACATGATTATTGAGCCAAACCATATCGGGTTTTTTTCCCCAATGATATCTTTGCTGTTTTGGATTTGGGTGATGTAGAATATTTCTCTATTGCTTTTGATGGGCTTTCGGATAAATAATTTTTGGTTCTCTTAGCTTGAAGGGGAACAAAAGTCAAGGAAGTTTATCTCTGGCACTATTCTCCAAAAATTGACAAGGTTTCAGGCAGATGTTTTTAGTAAAGGCCTATTGCTTCATGCGCCATTCATGTCCTTGAAGGTGTATTCGTTTTTATTTTTAGCTTGCAATCTTTTGCAATTGCTGCGTTGTAATATTTTTCTGTGATCGATAAAAACACTTAAAAGCTTTTCTTTTAATAAAGCATCCTGATGGTTCATACCCACATACTATTAATTGTAAATGAGCTTTGATGCTACTATTATGAATTTATCATTTATTACAGATTTTATGCCCCTCAGTTTTTATTTATGCTGGTCTCTTGTTTAAGAATATCTTTTTTCTCGGACATGTGTGTATCTGGAGGAGTTATTGTCCGCTTTCGTTTGATTTGGGTGTTAGTTTCTTATTCAAATTTGTTAGTGTGAAGGTGGTCTCAAGGGAGGATTGGCTGGTCCTCAAGGGAGGGGGGCTATCACCCCCTCCTTCCCTTATTCTTTTCCCTCCTTCCTTTTTTTCCTTCATTTCCCATTTCCTTTCTCTCCCTCCCCCTCAACCTTCCTTTCTCTCCATCTCAACCTTTCCTTCCTAAGCACTTCCCTATTTTAAATCCTTCCTAAAATCTGAAATCATAATTATATTTTTTTCTCCCTTATTATTTTAAATCCTTTTTTATTTTAAATCATGTTCTATTTTAAATCCTATTTGAAAACCTGATTATATTTATTTCCCCTTACTTTCATTGCCTAAGTGTTTCCCTATTTTAAATCCTTCCTAAAATCTGAAATCATAATTATATTTTTTTCTCCCTTATTATTTTAAATCCTGTTCTATTTTAAATCCTATCTGAGAACCTGATTATATTTTTTTCTCCTTACTTTCACTGCCTAAAATAAGTCTAGCCTCTTTATAAATATGGGATGATGTGCTTAGAGTTAGGGGTCTTCTTTTTGATATCTGAATTCAGGTTTTATCCTTGGTATTTTCTCTTCGAGGGATGTATCCGACGTTGAGGTAATGTTCCAGCTGTCCCTCTTTCGAGGTGGTGATTGTCTTCAAGGGGTCGAGTGGTGCTTCGGTTATAGCTTGACTCCGAAGAGGCATTTTTCTTACCATACTTCCGTTTTTCTGCTGTCATTTCACAATCCAGCCACCGCAGCCCCCTCTTCCACTGCTGCCAGCCACCTTCCTGCTTCCGTCCAGCCAAGGCAGCCCCTCCAACTCGCTGTCTAGGCCTTTCAAGCTCTTCCCAGCATCCCGTCGATATCCCTATAACAGCTACCTTGCTGTCCCGACCTTTCCCATCGCTGCCAATGCTTCGCCGCTCGCTGAATACCCTTCGAAAGTGCTGGCAAACCTTCGCAGCTGCTGTCCTACTTCTTCCACAGCAGCCCCCACAACTCTGGCCTTCACGCAGCCGTTGATCCAACCTCCAACGATGTTCTTGCTACTCTCCATCCGCGTTTCGACACTGTTACTATTGCCAATCTGCTGTCCTACTTCTTCCACAACGGTCCCCACCTCTTTGGCCTTTACTGCAGCCGCCAATCCAGCCTCTCCTTGCAGGACTCCCTCCTCATCAAGTGTGTTGTGTCTTCTTTGTTGAGTCATTAGTTGTAATTCTTTGTTTTGTGCTTTAGTTTTGAGAGTTTTCTTTCGTTATTTTGAGTCTTCATTGTAACATTATTTTAAGTTAACAGTAAAATTGTGTCTTGCTTTGTGATTTGGGTTAACTCCGATATGATAGTGTTTTGTTTTTCTAATTTGTTTATCTTTTTTTTTTTTGCTAATAATGTTCTATTTCAGAATTTTGGTGTCAACAATATAGATCTCGGTAATTTTTTTGGTGGGCCAGCCTTTCTCGCATGGGCTCGAATGGGGAACTTACATGGGTAAGCAACTTTTTTTTCTTAATGAGAGCGACATTCTAAATAAAAATATCATGAAGCTAAGAAAATTTTGAAGTGCTAGGAAATTATATCTTTTAATATGTTGAAAAGTAATTTCCAGTATCAGTTTGAGAGAACCTTACTTACATTGTTACAAAAATAAATATCTTTTATTTTTTATTTTTTTTATTTTGAGTGCTTTGTAGGTGGGGCGGACCACTTTCCCAGAATTGGTTGGACCAGCAACTCAGCCTCCAAAAGCTCATAGTCTCTCGTATGATTGAGCTTGGAATGACTCCTGGTATGTTTTGTATTTTTTTGATATTTTTTTTTGAAGAGTCAAATTTATATAAAGTAATAACTTAAAAAAAAAATTACCAACTTGTTTCTCTTTGCTTTTTGATTTTAGAGGAAAGAAGTTGTTATCAATTTTTGAATGTTTTAAGGTGGTCCTAATTCACAAGAAGATTGTTCCATAATTACCTAAAGTTTAACACCCCCCACCCCCTACCCCCCAACACACACACACACACACACATGTGAATGTCTGCTAGCCTATCTGTAAAGAGAAGCAGCCCTAGCAGCTGCAACTCTACCTTGAAAACACAATCCAAATTGTTTGATCAGAGTAGCACTGAAGTTTTAAAAGTGCAGCATGCTCAAGAAATCTTTATTAAGTGACTTGTGGATTATGTTGGAAAATTATTGAAATAATATCATTACCTCTTTCAATCTTCTGGTCACTAATTGGGCATAATGGCTTTTCATTCTTGCGTGATAACTGGCACTCTGAAGTTATTTACCTGTTCATGCTTGCTACACTGATATATTAATTTCTTCTAGCTCTTCTTAATATTTTCATCACCATGCACTTAAAAAGTTGTACTTTATCAGAATATTTTGTGTTTCTATATTTTTTGGGATCTCATTTCCAATTGTCTTCTAGATATGCCTGTGTTTTTGTTGGTGCTTGCATATCAGTTCAATAAGTTATAATTTTTATGTATTCATGTACAGAAAATTAGCATCTAATTTCCAATTGATGCTCGGAGACATTATCATGTTTCACTGTAGTTAATTGTAAAATTATATCTCTGCAAATCTCTTTAGGGCACTTTGTTAAGATTCAAGTTAGGACCTTAATGCTTCGCACCTAGGATTCCAATATTCCTGAAATCTATCACCTATTTCAGTGCTGCCAGCATTTTCTGGGAATGTTCCTGCAATATTCAGAACGTTGTTTCCTACTGCCAGCATTACCAGGCTGAGCAATTGGTATGTTTTAATTGGTTTTCAAGATTAATTGTTGCAGATTGCAGCACTGTTTACAGCCTAGTTAACTTATTATATGATTCTGTTCTGTTATTTTCTGTTGATCATCTAGCTTCTGCTTTTAGCCTACTTAATTCCTTATTTTCTGATGGTAGATGTGTTGAACATTTGTGCTTTCTTATTTTTCACCTTTCTCTTCTTTTTTCCATAGAATACTGATTTATATGGCTAACAGTATTAGACACTGTTATATGCTCGCTTGATTCAATTATTTTATAAAATCTTTGATGGTTACTTGAAATGTCACTGTTTTAAGTGCGAATCTTTGGCATTGGATTGAATTAGGTCTACCCCTCTCAATCATTCCATATTCCCTCACCTGCATATATCTACTTGCTTAAGCTTCTTCAAGTGAGAAGTAGAGGATATATCCAATTTATTCTTTTTTCGTATATACTTAATTTGTCTGCATGGATGACAAGCAGTTTGTGCAGCCTATTCTTTCACCTAAGGCATTGAGAGTCTTACTTTAACTTAATCTACCTCACATTTATCATTGATCATTAAAATCTTACAAGGGCTGGTTGAAATACTAATTATTAGCAACTAAGTGTGCCCTCTAACTTCCACTATCTATGAAACTGCAACTAGTAAGTTTATCGATGATGATAATATGGTTGTATATTTGGTAGGATGGAGGTACAATCAGAATAGCATGTGTTTTTCTCATGAGCGTAAGAGGAAAATTATCTGAGCGCATTGGAACAAATTTTTATTTATTTATTTATTTTTCTATACTACTAGTCTGCATTGATTAATCCTAAGTGATGTGTTCCTTGCATTATCTTCTATTTAGGAACACTGTCAATGGTGACCCACGTTGGTGCTGCACATATCTTCTTGATCCATCAGACCCTCTATTTATTGAACTTGGCAGAGCATTTATCAAGCAGCAAATTAAAGGTTTTTGGTTTTGTATGCTCGTCAATTGTAGTTTTTTATTCTGTATTGTATTTTAAAGAATATAATGTAATCTTTTCTTTCAATAGCTCCGTCTACAAAAATATTTCCAAACTGTGAACATAAATTGCTAAGATCAGCTTTTGCTAGTACTTCTAAGGTGAAAATAATCTGGAAGATCATTGATTACAGTGGCACTCAGAGATGATTCCTGCATTGATAATGGTATATAATGTAGAATCTTTTCTTATTCCAACGTCTAACTTGAAAAACAAAGGTATCTTTACTATTTGAGATATCATAGAATCTACTTCAATTCAATGATTACAACTGAAATTGGAGTCATGTATATTAGGCGTGTGTAGGGTTACTGTCAGTATATCATTAATTTATTTTTGCACTTTTGAGTTTCCATTTAAATGCCTCTTATAATAAAAGTTGAACTTAAATTATCATTCAAATGCCTGTGAATAACCTTTAAATCATGATATTTAGTTGTTTATGGCTATTTCTCCGTACCGACATTTGTTTCGGCCTCCCTAAATTGCTTCAAGGATTTTGGGCTCATTCCTATGACTATGTACTTTCTAGGCTTTCTTCATTGAAGAAAAATCATGTAGTGTAGAAACTTGATAGAGGCTTATTGAACAATAGAAAGTAAGTCATTTTTGTCCGCATTCTTGTATAATATTGTCCTTAGTATTCCAAACATAAATCTAACTTTTGTAGCTGTGTGCATTTAGGGACCAAATCCATTTGGTATAGTCATTTGGTTCCAAGCACAAGTTGTCATGCATGAGTATCCTTGATAGGTTGCAGAACTAAAAAATTACCAAAATAGTCCTTTGAGGGAGAATTATTTAGTCTAAGGACTAATTTGACACTTTTATTGATTGAGGGAATCAGTTTGATACTTTTCTTGTGGTAGAATTTTCTTTATTTTATTTAGCAGAAGTTGCTAATGTCAAATCATATTTTATGTGCATACTAAACTCTATATTTAGAGTATAACTAAAGCCTTTGACTTTAAGAAAACACTTCCTTACTATTGTTCTTTGGCATTATTAGTCTTGCAAAAGCTAATGACATTCACAATATTTTGTTTCTATCTAGTTTCATGAGTGTTGATAATGCTCAACAAACTTACTTTTCATTTTGTACTCTTCTTAAAAATGTAATGACTAGCATGACTCAGAAAGGAGATTGAGAAGCCTACCTCAAGTTGTGCCCGTAACGTCCGACAAAATAAAAAAAATAATAAAAAAAAACCTGAACCAACTAATGTTAGGTCAATTGAATAGACATTAAGTTGTTCGTCTTATAAGGTATGCAGGCGAGGTGAAAGGAGAGAGGGCGTAACTCTCGTGCAAGCTGATCAAACACACATAAGGGGAGAGGAATTGGATGAGAGCTTTAGAAAACGAACAGGCTCAAAGACGGACAAGAAATGAATGTGGGAGAGTGACATCAACGACATGCAACCAAGCTGAGATTGCAAGCAACTTTGTGACGCGGCCTTGCACCATGTGAATAGGGAGGCGAAGCAAGTTTGAGTAGCTTGAACGTACGGCTTGGGCGATGAGTAAGGCTCGAGCAACATAAGTGTGGGAATTGAGAGGCAGGCGACTTTGGGCAACCAAAGTGTCTGTTTGGGCACACGAATCCAAACAAGAGCAAGCTAGATGGGAGTGCGATTAAGTTTTAAAGGATTGAAGCAGTAGTTTTAAGCTAAATCCTAAAGGACCTGAACAAATTTTTTTCATTTATCTTTAAATGATTTGTTTAATTCTATTTCATGGAAAAAGAATTGTATTGAAAAGAAATTTAGGGCATTTAACTCGTTGTATCAACATTTAAAATTTGTTTTATTAATAAAAAGTATAATAAAATAAATAAAGATAAAATAATAGTAAATAAAATTAATGAACAATGTATTTAAAAATATGAAATTGAGTAAAATTTTCTATTTCACATTAAATAGGAAGTTGTAGTTGTAAAGCAGTTGAAAAAATATAAAAAAATGATAATAAGACTTATAATAATATATAGTTGAAGAATATGTTAAATTTATAAATTATGTTTGGTATGAACTTGTCGAATTTAAGGTTTAATGATGATTTTCTATTTTTTTATTTTTTTAGGTTTAATGATGATTTTTTTACATGTGAATAACATAAAAGTTAGGGTTAAATTAATTAGAAGTTAATCTTCATAATATATGAATTATCAAAATAAAAAAAGTTAATTAATAAATTCTAAATATTATAACAAGACAAATTTTAATAAGAATTATATTAATGACAATATATCAAATTTTAAATTAATTTATAAGATATTAGTAATGATTTGTATTTGTATAACTCATCGTTTCTAGGGAAAATGAGGGAGTCGAAGAGTGGAAGACGAAGTGAGCGGTCGTGAACGTAAATGGATAATTTGTTCTATAAGTCGACACGTATGAAGGGAGGCAAAGGTAAGATCGAGAGGCTTCACAGCAGACGCCGACTCCGAGTGAGAACAGCATAACTCGGGGGGTCGACTGATGTTCTATCAATCGACACATATGAAGGGGGACCGACGAGCTCAAGCAAGGGCTTCCCCATAACCGAAGGCGGTGGCATTGATGGACGAAGATGTCTGTGATCGTCGAATAGAGGAGACGAGACACTAGGGCTCAACGAGGGTGATGAAGCATGCGATTGAAGCCAAAAAATAATTGTCGTTGAGCAAGCTAGGGCGATGGTGTGAGAAAATTGAACCCAAGTAAAAAAATCATTAACTCCCTGGTTTGAAGGCTCATTTGTTTAATCTCGAGATCCTCTTTTCCTTAGTTGCAATGTTTGGAAAACCTCTAAAGATGGATTTCACCACCTACACTTTATTTGGGCCTTCTATGGTTAGAATCTTTATTGAACTTGATATCACTTTATCACCTTTTGATGAGGTTTGGATCGGCTCTGCGCATAATGGTTTTTGGCAATAGGTGATTCTAGAGAAACACCCTCTTATTGTACACATTGTCGTATGTTTGGCCATGACCCCGTTCAGTGTTTTCACTTACATCCTGAGTTGCAGAAGCGGAATATGGTGAATCATAATAGTGGGACTAATATAGAGCAGCATCCACCACCTCCAACTCTCACTGTCTCTACGGAAGAATTGATTCCGACTTTTCATGCTGATATGAATACCAATTATATTGGGCCTATTTCTCCTCGAGTTTGGAGTGCAGATATGGCTCCTTCTGAGGTTGGTCTTCATGCTGACGGGAAAATTCCCACTCCATCCGAACTTATTGGCCCTTTTTCTCCTCAAGTTAGGATAGCGCTTCGGGTCCCTGAGGAGGTTATTCTTCCTGCCGTCTGAGAAGCTACCCCCTCTCCTCCTGAAACTACTAATCATTTTGAGAATGTTTTGCCCCATCTTGACTCAGTTGCAGTGGCCTCTAACATCCCTTTGGAGGAGGTTTCAAATATATTGAGAGAAGAATGATAATTTCAGAAGTATCTCAGGAAAAAGTATAAAGGTCGTAATGAGTTAGAAAATCTCAAGATGGAAAATGCATTGATTGATGTGGATCATTATTATTCAGAGGGTGATCATGAGCATACCCGGACTAGATCTTCTAGAAAGGGTAAGTTGTCTATTCATTTTTAATGTCTTAATTTGGAATTTCAGGGGAGTTGCAGATCCTTACTCCCTTGATAGACTTAAATTAATGACAAGGATTCATAAAGTTGGTATTCTCTCTATTTTGGAACCTATGGTATCTTCTCCAGATGCTCGCATTATGGGTAAATTCAATCATTTTTCTTTCTTTAGTAATTGTTCTAATAAGATTTGGTTGTTTTGGCGGAAACACATCACTGCTAATGTTATTGCTGATGATAGACAATTTGTGCATGTCTATTTCGCTATGGAGGAGTTTTCGGGATGCACATCACTGCTAATGTTATTTCTGATGATAGACAATTTGTGCATGTCTATTTTGCTATGGAGGAGTTTTCGGGATGACTGGCATTCGTATATGTTGGGTCTTCTACTTCTGCCAGATATGACCTTTGACACAATCTCTAGTATGGGAACTTTAACTCAAGATAATTGGATGGTTGGAGGGGATTTTAATGTGATTATGCATAATTCTGAGAAATTGGGAAGAAGGAGAGTAAACCTCGCTTTGATAGATAAATTCAACAGAGGATATTGCTGGTCTTTCTGATTTGGGTTTTACTGGTTTTAAGTTTACTTGGAAAAGTGGGGAACTTTTTGAACGCCTTGATAGATGTTTTGCTAATCAGTCATGGATTTCCTCTAATAGCTTCTCTCAAGTTCAACCCCTTTGTAGTTCTAGCTCTGATCATAATCCCCTCATTTCCTTTGATTTTTTCAAAGAGATTTCTAGATTCCACTTCAGATATTTGAATGTCTGGGCAAAACACGATGACTTTATGAGATTTATTGAAGCTAATTGGAGATGTGTTGAGGTGGGCAGCGCTTGGTTTATTCTTTGGAAGTTACATAAAAAGTGACATCTACTTTGAGAACATGGAACTGGGAAGTTTTTGGTGATGTCCATGCTAGGGTTACAAAGGTTGAACAAAGGGTCACCATGTTACCGACTTTTGACAAATCTTCAGTCGATCTAGTTCCTCATCTTCAGGAAGCTCATAATGAGTTGCTAGAGGCTTGTCTTTGGAAGGAAGAGTTACTGCAACTACAAGCTGGGGAGATACACTTTACTCAAAGTAATAGAAATACTAAGTATTTTCATGCTTGTATTAAACATCGTAGAGCTCTTAACACCATTGTTAGAATTAAAAATGCTGCTGGAAACTGGATTACTGGGGATGAGGAGTTAGGTGAGAGTGTTGTTCTTTATTTCTCCAACTTGTTTGAAGCTTGTGAGACCTCAGACATTATTGAGGTTCTTCTCTTTAATGATGTGAGACAATACACGGAGGAGCTAGATCTGTGGCGTTCCTACCAGTGAGGAGATTTTTTCC